TTAGAAAACCTTTTTAGAATTAGAAAAGCACCCGATTAGATAGAGCATACAAGATAACCTGCAGAAAACGCACTTTTACGTTTTCCTCTAGCTTGCAGGCCAAAAGTCCACATGCCTAGTGAAAATTGCCCACTGTGGGATTGTGATGCATGTCAGATTAATTAATTACAATTGTTTTATTTTTGAAATATAATGCAATTCTGCTGTTTGCCTCGAACTTTATGGTCCTAAAATTAAACAGCAGAGTGAATGAAGTTGCTCGAGATGCTTGAAATCCTCCTTATTCAAAAAAAATCACTCGGATAGTTATCGGATAGAGTTTCAATGTATTTCCTCAGCTGACTAATATTCAAAAAGCTCTGTTTTTCATGTTGAGGTAAGCGATGGCATCGAGAAACTGGTTTCAGGAAGTGTACCTTTGTATAGAACTTATCATTATTCAGCTGAGCAACTGTATTTATTTTTTGCTCGAGTCAGTTCGACCGATTCAAACAACCGTTGTGCAGTATAGCCAAATATTTTGAGCAGCTGTGCTAAATGTTGCATAGGAAACAAAATAGTTGATGTGTAGAGACTTAAGATTTGCTGTTTGCTTAATTAATCATTAGTTTAATTAGAAACATACTTGCTCACAAAAAAAAGTTTTGTTGCTCGGTAAAACGTACCCATCCTCTTAAAATCTATATCTAAAACACTGACGAGGAAACCTTTCCAGATGTCCGACCGCTTTTCTAACGAAATGCGGTACTTGATAGGTAATCGACCATGCTGATTCCGAATATGATAGTCGTTTTTGCCCATAGGTCTTTCCTAATCGATTTCTGGAAAACTGGTTTTCCAGAAACCTCGAAAAATCCTCAAAAGTTTTTCCAAATAAGTCACGACTGTAGTCCGCGAAATCCTGATTAAAATGAGACATCTCCCAGCTCATGAGATGGTCCAACTCGTGGATCTTCAGCTTTTGGACGACGAATACCTTATATTAACAAGATCTGTATGAGATCCGCCTCTCTCTCGTAGGTTGTGATGACAATATGTTGTAATGTTTTTCTCTAGCCGCAATAAACTTGCGTGGTACATAAAGAATACTTGTCATTTTTGACAATACATAGATATATCACGACGGAAACGGATGGATGAACGCCTCTGATTTAGACGATTGAGTCAGCAAAATATTTTTATTCGCGTAGACATATCCTTTACGTCATTGAGAAAAACGTCACAGAGAGGCTGTGCACTGCGTACAGTATAAGAAGCAGTCCAAGTTTTCGCGGCATATAAACTGAAGAGCCACTTTGCTCAACACAGTCAATTTTGAGATTTATACATGGTTGATTAGCCCAAACGGTCTGTTTTCAAATAAACTATAGATTTTTAGTTTTACGTTGATTGGGGAGGGAGTCTGAGAGATTTTTCTAAAAGACTCTGAAGGCAGAAAGATTATTTTTTTCTCGAAATCGCTTTTTAAATTTAAATCTGTCGCCACTGCAAGATTTCTCGTCTATTTTTAGCTCTGGAAATCTCGTTGATCTTAAATTAAAGAAAAAGCTCAGCGCTATGACATAGGAAAGCCCGATTTTTGATTTTGATTTTAGTCTTTGAGATAAAAAAATGCACTCCCACAGTTTTTCAGGTTTTCAGAGTAAAACATTAGGAAAACGATAAGAAACAAAAATTTTAAAGATTAACTTTAATTTAAGATCAACGAGATTTCTAGTGCTCAAAATAGAGGAGAAATCTTGTAAATGGCAAGACATACTTTTGACCTTTGTGTCTGAATGACTCTGAGAAAACTGAAGATTTCGAGTTCAAACTTTTATGGTGAATGCACCTTGATAGGGATAACACTCGCTGTAAATATGGTTAAGAGCGCACATTTCTGCTCAAAAATAGATTTTTAGCGTGAGGATGTGGTGTCGTTAACTCCGAAAGAGTTTGTAAGCTAGATTTAGTAAAGAATAGGTTAATCTTGTGTCCAAACAGTTTGTAATCATCAGCGTTTATAATATGATGGACGTGACTATCATGTCCACTCCTAAGAGAAAACCATAGATAGCCAAGGTTTTTTCAAAGGCAACCTAAAGTCACAATTCTTCTCTTTTTGCTCGTGGTTAAATAAAAAACCACAGAATAAAGCACTTATAAATAACACTTGATAACCTTTATCTAACTAAAAATAGTGCGTATATTCTCTTTTTTTTCTGTTCTTCGCTCTTTTGATATCAATTTTTCACTGTACGTTGGTTGATCACGTTTTGACAACATGGCACAACAGAAAATAATGCAGCATACTTTTACATCTTTTTTTCTTTTTCTTTTCATCTTTAAAACCATCTGGACCTATTCTGTAGAATAATTATTATATTACATCCGAATCATCTAACAATGATAGAGAAAATCATTTGAAGTATGAAAGTATTGAATTTCAACGCGATTTAAACCAAGAAACAACCTACATACAAACGCACAAAGAAGAATGAGAGACGCCAACGAACGAGAACGCCTAATGTATTTATTTTCAACGATGTTGAGTTTAAGTTGTTTTTGCTTCGTTTTAATTAAAAAACTAAAACTATTGTCTCTAACAGCAGTTCATATTTGATTCTGTTTTTCTTGTAGATATAATAATGACTAAAGGCCTTGTACAAACTGCATCTAACACTGATCAACACCATCAACAAAATGGCACCACTCTAAGTCCCCAACAAATCATTAATGTATCTGATCAAGAGCATACACGTCAATTATGGTTGAAAGCAGATTGCGTTTGTTTTGATGTTGATTCAACAGTATGTAAAGAAGAAGCGATTGATGAATTAGCGAAATTTCAAAATGTTGGACATACTGTTGAACAAATAACATTATCGGCTATGGGTGGCAATATGAGTTTTCGTCATGCATTAAAACTACGTTTAAATGTTATCCAACCGACAAGCCAACGTTTAAGCGAATTTTTATTAAAACATCCGCCACAATTAACCGATGGTATTGTTGAATTAATTCAATTATTACACGAACGACATGTACCAGTCTATTTGATCACTGGTGGATTTCATGCGATCGTTGATCCGATTGCAAAACGTCTACATATTCCATTGCAAAAGGTTTTTGCAAATCGTATACTGTTTGATGATGAGAATGATGGAAATTACATTGGTTTTGATGAAAATGAATTTACATCGGATACGGGAGGAAAAGGACTTGTTATTGAACATTTAAAACGAACGAAAGGTTATGAACGTTTAATAATGATTGGGGACGGAGCAACGGATATGGAAGCATGTCCACCAGCTGACGGTTTCATTGGATTCGGTGGAAATATAATTAGAGACAAAGTGCGAGATAATTCACCATGGTTTGTTACATCATTTTATCAACTCATTGACGAACTGAGAAATAATTCTATCGAAAATATTCCGCAGAATAGAATTCGAATAAAAAATTAGACAAAGTGCTGGTACACAAACACTTTAGATAATCAATTGCACGCTGTTTTTTGTGAATTCTTATTTTTACTAGGAAAGTCGTTTATATATAGACATATATATATATAGCAAAAACTTTTTTGTCATTTGTGAGATTATTTTTGTCTAAGTAATGTGACATTTAATCATGGTGATATGTTACCTGTGACGATCCTTCACAAGATAATGCAACTATCCGAGAATAAAATAGTTACGATATTATATTGGAAAAATCCTATTTTAACTTGTCCTAATCATGCTAAACTGAAACATGTTACTGTAGTAGACACATTTCAATGTTACTCTTACTTAATCATTGATTTGAGATCAATTATAAATGACATAAAAATATACGACTGATCATAGAAAATGTTGATTTCCTTTTCTTTAGTCAATAGGACTGTCTCTAACTCACATGCAAAACAAAATATACTTTGGTAAATCAAGTTTGACCTCTGAGCCTTTTTGTCGTCTACATTATATATACACTTCTAACTTTGACTTAGTATTATAATGTAAATCTTTTACATTAGTTTAAGTTTGGGTTGAAATTTACATATGAGAAAATAAGAGTGAAGTTGCGGTTTTTGTAAAAGAAAAAGTATATGTAAAAAGCGACTGAAATAACAATTTATAAACGGGTTATCAATGCTCAGAACGTAAAAATATCCATTATATGAAATATTAATTGAAAGCGAAACAATGCTAGAATGGTACATTCCAGATCAAAAAATCAGATTTCTAATATCGCAACGAATGAAGATCTCTGATTCGTGTACCATTTCCAGCAAATGTTCCACAGATAACTAATAATAGATTGATACCTACTTAGACGCGAAATACCAGATTACAGACATTCGAATTTGAAACTGACTTAAAAACTACTAACGTGCTAAAGTACGTCGTAGAGAAACTGACCGGTATGAGGCATAAAATAAACTTTCAAGTTCAAGTGCAAGTTCTCTGCCATGAGGAACGAATAAAGATTTCGTAATCTATACCTAAAAATCTGTACAAAGATTTGGTAAAGGGTTTCTCTCAAACCAAACCTTCTAAACACATATTCGTTCCTGGTGGTACCTCTTGATAAATTATATAATCCATATTTCGAAGGTTCAGATATAGTATCGGATCCTCACCGAGGGATCGATCATTTGGAAAATGACAGTTTTATCCTTCAAGATAAGGTTCGAAGGATCACAACGAGTACTTCTTTGAAAGCGTACCACGTTTACATAGACTTTAGCCTAATTGTTAAATATTAACAGGATTAGTACAACTCGAGCTCCTGATAGCGAATAATACGTTCAAAAAATTTTAAAACAACGGCGCAGTGCTCTTTCATGTCTAGAAGCGCGCCATTTTCCAGCAAAACGGACTTTTTCATCATCTTTTAAAGGAAAACATTTTTTAGCTGTTTGCTCGTATGGTTTTCTATTGATATCTAGGGATTCATCACACATCTCTATAGAACGAGATTCTGAGCAGTTTGTAGATCACATCGAGTTACTAATTAACTTGTTAAGTGGAAATTTTTTCAGACATAATAAAGAAGTTCTCGAAGAATTTGAAAAAGTTCACTTTTCATCTCTGAAGAAATCCTAGACATTTCCGGAGAGAACCGTACGAGCTTAGTCGATAGTGAACTTAAAATGTCATGGTAGTATAAGCGAATAATGCGTCACAAAAAGTTGGCTCTTTCGAAGGTATTTTAGCATTTTTCTAGTGTTTTTAATTTTTTGGTATAATTTAACATAAAACCTGACTCTCCAGCATGTTGATTACGGGATAACAGCGTAAAAAAGAATTAGAACAAAAACTCGAAGAATACAGGTGTAGAGATCAAATTTCTTTATTTACAAAAAGACACAGGTAGTTTGTGCAATTATTAACCAAATTAAATGAATAAAAAAAGGATAAAATAATCAAAAAATATTTAATAATATGAGTTTATGCAGAATAATCTAAAATGATGAGTTGACAACAAGTGTGGAGTAAAGAGTAACCGTTTTATCACCAGGAGAAAGAAAGTATATACGCTAACCGCATTTCATTTGTTTATTAGCCATCATTTCTTGTCAAATGATGAATACTATTTTAAACTATCTATACGAAATTTGCTGTTGTCGATCATCTTCGATATCAGCAGTACTTTACTGTTATTATGTACGTTACTTTATCAAGCAAAAAATAATTTTAAAAATGATGTTTCAGAAAAAAAATCAGATTAAGATGACTAAATAAATCGAGCCTTCTAGTCAAATTTTAGAAAACTTTCAAGTAAAAGTAGCAAGTAACGTGTGTTACTATTGACAATAACAAATAATGAATTGGATTTTGACTCTGAAATGACAAATTCAACAATGTAATTATTCTACATTCGGTTCAAACATTTTTAAAAAATGTTACCGTTGTTTATACATATAGTACTTATAAAGTGCCATCTCTAGTTTTCACACATTCGATTATTCACAGTGTTTCTATATATATGTACAACGTATAGTTATAGTCTTTCGACAAAGTATAACAATTTTGAATTGTTTTGTGAAAATGAAAGTCTATAAAATTTAAACAGATTTTATGTGACGAGATTACTTATCATGTTTTGTAAAACGTTGGTGTAACGTATCGGATGCATGATAATTTTGTGGTGTTGGATGAACTTGATTAATTCGTGGTGATGGTGTTCGACGACTAGTCGAAATTTTATTTTGCTTTTTTGTATTATTGCTGCCATCATAGGTATCAGTTGTTGTCTCATTGATTTCATCCTGTATCGTAACTTGTTGTTGTGATTGTTCATCAAAATCATGATCATCTTCAATGATGCCAATTTTTTTACCAATCCAACGAAATTTAGCCACAATTTCTTCTTGCATTAAATCAAAACACATTGCCAATATGGCCATACCAAAGAGAACATAAATTGCACCCAAAATCAATTTTGCACCAGCATTTGGATCATCTTTTCGTTGACCGGGCACCTAAATACATCAGTATACATGAAATATCAAAAATTATTTATGAAAACTAATGCACATATACTCACAAAATCACCAAAACCAATTGTTGCTAAAAATGAAATAAGATTATACTTTTATTGTTTTAATTATATCATCCGCTTACCAAGTGTTATAAAACAAAAATAACCAGATTGAATCATTGTCCATTCTTCAAATTTATGAAATAACACAGATCCTGCCCATATATAACCGGCAATAATTAACATTGTAATTGTCAATGGCACCGTTACACGATCTTTACCACTATTTGTCTCGTAGTCATCATCATCAAATTGCTGTTGAAATTTATTACTACCACTTGTATCTATATTATAATCATCGTCCATTGTCCAACCAGCTGTCATATGTGTTGGATGTAAATCCTGTTGGTTTTTCATTTTCATACGATGACGTTTCCGTTTAATCGCATGACATGGTCGACAGATCACTTTGCTATAGAGAAAGCGAAACATTTCACCAAGTACACCGCTTATATTAGCTACACATAGTAAAAATATTGGAATGCCTATTGTCGCATAACAAAGACAACAAATTTGACCTTCCCCTAAAAGATCAAAAAGAAAATAGAAAATAAAAACTAAAAGAAGGAGAAAACGTTATATTATTTCAAACTTACATGTCACCGGGCTAAAATGATAATTGAAGCAGTTTAAATTATAATTTTCTTAATATAAATAGTACTTACGTTATATTTCCATATCCAATTGTTGTTATGATTGTTATAGCAAACAATAATGCACCAGGAAATGTCCATTTATTCACTTCACTACAATCATCCCCCTCATATCTGTATGTTGATGTTATATTAAGCACATTTGTTCGAAAATCAATTAACATTAAACCAATTTTTTGATATGCTGTTGTCATATTATCTTTCGTTAAATCAGTGCCAGTTGATGTTGTATTAAATTGTATATAGGAAACGAGAGTTTGCTTTAATTGATTAACATAAGTTTGTTGATCGCCTTGAGCTTGTTGACAATTTTTCATTTCTTGATGTTGTTCTAGTAATTCAAATAGAAATCCACCGGCAACCGAGTAGACGGCCACAAGACCAACTAAACCAAGATGAGAAAATAAAAATTTTGCAGTTTTTTTAAGACATGAACGAGCTTTGGAATTGGTATGAGAATATTTTGCATTTTTATTATCACTGTCTGTTTCAACAATTTCTCGTTCGGATGTTGCTGCAAGAGAAGCATCATACATTGGTAGAGACGGAAACGACATGTTATTCTAGAAGAAAACAAAGAATTAAATCAATTTATTCGCTTGTAGAAATTAAGAAACACCTAAATGTTTCTAATATCCTGACGATTAACAGTGGACATACTTGAATCACCGGTTGTTTTTACTTCGAAGCTCAAGTAGTCGTTCAACTTTCCACATTACAACTTACTCGTTTTTTTACCTAAAAAACTTGACAGAACTCGTCATACGCGTAAATATATAATTGCATAATGTTCACTCGATGACAAAAAAGAAATATGCTCTGGTTCAACACTTTTTTTCTCAAAAAAATAATAATGAGAAAAGTAACTAAGAACTGAGAATGAACAATAAATTTTTCTCTTGTTTTTACGTGTTAAAATTTTATCTTTTACATTTTTGGGTATTTTTTTTAAATCGATAATGAGCGTTTAAGAGTTTTTGTTTTTACTGAAAAAATTTTTTTATTTAAAATAAAAAGAGTATCCAAAAAATAATAATAAAAAACTACTGACGGAAATAAAATAGAGAAAGTGTACTTTCCTGAAGAAAGATGTGACGGAAACGGTGAATAATAACTATAAAAAGTTAATTTGTTCTTTTTATATACTTCTTAGGAACTAGTTATATAGATGCACTTTTTTTTCCTCTTTTTGTCTAAAAATTGATTTTTACTACCAACATCTACTCCCTTTTTTTTCTTTTTGTTCCCTTAGTCAAAACATTATACTAGAAAATATATATCTGTACCTACCTCATCGATACTCATCGTTGGAATCCCTAATGAGCAAAAAATATTTAATAGAAATCGTTATTTCTTTGAACATAACAGTAGAAAAATGACAAAATCAGATGTGATTTAGACGTATGCTTATCGGTAGAATTTAGAGTAAGATTGAGAGATGACAATATGAAGCTTTCAGAATGTTTATATTTTCTATGCAATATGACATAATCTTTAAATTTCATTTATAGTATTCTAAATTAAAACTAATAGAAAAATATAAAATCACAGTTGTACAAAATAGATGCTTGAACACGTAAACAAAGGTTCACAGAAAACTTCAACAGAAGATTCACAGCTTCTAATTGTTTGACAATTTAAAAAATATTTTAAGAATTCTCAAAAATGTCCAGATTTTTGTTCGCCAGAAGAATCCAGGGTGGAGAATCTTGAAATATGATTTTGTAAGATCATATTTCAAGATCTCACAAAAATCGTGGCCCAAGGAAAATCTTATAAGATTTCACAAGATTTTGTAAAATCTTGTATGATCGTGCAAGAAGTGACAAAATCTTGAAAGAGTTCATATGATCATATAACAATTCATCAGATCTTACAAGATCATGTCCTTGGTTCTGTCCTATAGATTCCCTCTAGGTCTGCTTTAAAAAAATCTTTTTCTTTTCATAATATTGTCGAGCTTTGATGTCATTAGGAACGTGTCTAACCACGTTTCTTATAGCCATGCACTTTATTTGTGCTCAGCTGATGTGTGGAAGTTGAAGGAAGAAAAAAATTGTAAGGCTTGTCATAAGAACTAATGTTAGATAAGAACTTATAGATGTATATATACTGTATATATAGTAGCCAAATTTATGTGGTAAGAATGAATCATCACTTTTTGTAAGATCTTGTAACAAGAAATCGTATGATCTTGTGATAATAAGTAAATATATCAGTTCAACACTTTCGCTGACAAGATCGCTTATACAAGATCTTGCAAGGTTATGTAATTTCTTATTACAAGATCTTAACATTTCTTATAAGTTGATCTACGACAAGAAGTTACAAGATTCCGCAAGATCAAACATGATCTTGAAATAGAATTTTCTGTGAAGGTTATTTTGTTTTAAACGGGACGTAATGTTGCTTTCAACGCTAGAAAGCTTTCCTTAGATCAAAATTTATTTTGATTTCAGACCAGCCTTCTATTTACAGACCGTTAAATTCTAATGGTTTCAAAAAAGATTAGCAGCATCGTATTAACATATAAAACTATGTTCTTTGGTGCGTGGGGAAACGTTAGTTCGTATTATCGTTTCAACGATAAATGAATAAACAGCGCTCGAAACCGAACACTTTTACACTAATCAAGTACGCCCAAAACTAATACCAAGAAACCTTGACTTTAGGTTTTTTAAATGCCCCGTTCTTTACTTTTCAAGTGTAACATTTTATCTCTTCTTAATCCTACATCGATAATGGTAAGGGAGTTTTTAACACTAATCATTTACTAATTTGTTTCCTTACTTTACGTGTTAGTGAAGAAACAATATTAATGTTTTGAAAAAAAGCTTCAAACATTTTTTTCTATTCATTGATCACCGGTGTGATGGATAAACCATAATCCGCTAGTGGAAGGCTACCAGGATATTGGCATGTATCAAATTTTTCTTTTTAATGTAAAAAAAATTACAGAGTGCTTGAAGTCCAATATATGATACTCTGTTTTCGATAAAAAATCTCACAAGATTCCCAGGGATTCTACAACGAGAGTTCACAGAGATTATTATTTTGATTGTCGGCTAGAATATGCAGTACAATGATCAAAATTATGCAGTCGACAGATGTAAGGGTTCTCAGGTGAGGCGCTATAATCAACTTTGGTAGAGCAGCAAAACGTTTTGACTATAGTATCCCAGCTGGGAACCCTGGTAAATGAGTAACTCCAATCCCCTTCTTTATTCTGTCGAAATCTTCACTCTGCACCCAAACAAATTTGATCTCAAAAACCTTAGTCATTTATAAACAATCTATTCTTTACATGTATACGCCTATCTGAAAGATCGTTAAATAAGTTTCTGTTTGTAAATGAACATCGAAGAAGCAAAGAAACATCAGATGGTGTCGTTGGCATACACTAATATTTCAGTGAGTGAGTTGTTATGGTAGAGGCATCTTATTCGTTCTCGAATTCTCCAATAATCTTCATATTTTACACGACGACTTTATCGTTACATTCTGTTATTATTATTGTACGAACCACTTCATCTCAAGAGTCAGAAAAAACCACTGTGTGAAGTGTTTTCTGATATTTGTTTGTATTTTGAATCGTTGATTATTTTCCAATTAATTATCTTTTCTTATAGATAATTTTTTTTATTTTAAATAGAGTTTTAATTATGAATAGTAGTGATCCTCATGCTGGTCATCATCAAATGTCGAATACACATATGCATCATGACACAAAAATAGTGAATTTAACCGATGTTCATGCAAATCATGGTCAGCACGGTTTGAAGCATGATATGATGGGGGTACAGTATTTAGCATTGTACAATTTATAGAAGGAGAGAAAAAGATTTTGTGTTTTTCAGATGTTTTTTCATGCCGGCTACGGGGGGGAAACAATTCTATTTAAAAACTGGACGCCCAACACACTTTCATGTAAGTGAGATTTTCATTTTATATCTGTATGCGATAGAAACCACTTACTTCATATTTTTAGCTTTTATCGGATCCTGGTTCGCCATTTTTGCTGTTGCTATAGTCTATGAAGCATTAAAAACACTTCGAGAAAATCTTTTGAGAAGAGAAACGCTTAGAGAATGTACCGAAACACAAATTCGACGAAATTGTGGAACATTGTAAGTGAGTAATAAAACGAGATCTACCAGTAGAAAACTAATTTCACTCTCGCAAAATCTCTAGAAAATCCCTTTAGAAAACCTGAACTATTTGTTATAGAGCATCCTTTATGTTCATTTTATATACCTGGATTAAAGTGGCTGATTAAAATGGCATATACCAGCCTGGAACCATTGAATATGCAAACAGTTTTCTAGAAAATGTTGCCCAAATTTGCAAAAACCGTTTTTTTTTTTTTCTTAGCTTTTAAAATCCCAGTATATAGATTTGTAATGCGTCTTCTGAGCTACAATTTTAGACCATTGCTGTTGTAAACAAACTTGACGAGACGGAAAAAACTCGTTTTTTCTAACGTCAGATAAAAAGGTAAAGAAAAAAGTGAGTAAGGTGACTTGCAGAGACGCTTATAACTCAGCAAGGAAATATTTTTAAAAGAGAAAAAAATGTGAAAAAGTCTACTAAAGAGTTACTTCATCAACACAAAAGATTTGAGCAAACACAACATTCCAATTGTTTCGTGGCTACTGTTCGTTTTGATCGAATTCGCTCTTAATTATTCATAGTATACAATAAACAAAGGAATATCTTCGCTAAAACATCCTCAAGACGAAGTAACACTAGACACTGAAATATTTTCTTATAATCAATCAAATTAGAGGAAAAAAACGGTTTTTATAACACTTCCGTATCTTAGTTTAAAATAATTCCCGTCGTTTTCCCTCTCCTGCTTCAGATTTTTTCAAAAAATAAATCAGTAGATGCATGCTCACAAACACCGCTTTTGTAGTTTTTTATTTGCTGCTCATATTTCTAAAATGAATAAAGTAATAATTTATACAGTTGCTATGTATGGTATTAATCAAGAATTATTGCATGCGTTTGGGTTTAATGTGGTTGTTCGATTAATTTTTGCTTCAGACTACGGACAGATTATGATACCCCATTGAATGATCAGATGCCAACCATCAAAACCGAAGGGATGAATGCAAAACGGTAAATTGGATATTAGTTAACTTTTAATTTTGCTTTAACTGCTTAATTTTTGCTTAATGCTTCGGTGTAAAATGAGATGCTAATCACAAATGAACCATTGGTTTTGTATTCTCAATTGTAATATTCCATCAGATGAAGCTGAACTATCTTAGCAATATGTTTTGAGGCAAATCAATTTACAACTAGAGCCCTGCTGATCACGCATAACCTATCCTATCCTGGCAGATTAGAACAGGTTTAGGTTACGACTTCGCAGTTTAAGATAGGATATAGGTTACGAAAATTTTTACAGGACAGGTTAGACTACCCGTACCCTGTTTTCAACCTATAAAAAAAAGATTAAGCGCCATCTGTAAAGGGGACGAAATAAGTACTAAAAAAATAGTTTTTATTAGTCAAAAAAAATATTTAGTGC